TAAATATAAATATAAATATAAATATAAATAACTAGTTCTGAAACCAGGGGCTCGCATTTCTGATATCTTTTTGATGCATGTTGTTTCATGGAAGCTGTACATTCAATTTGCTTTAAAAAAAGAAACTAAGAGTATTTGCCAAATAACTACTGATCACAACTCCCAAAATACACTTACCTTTTAGATTTCTTTTTTAGTGTATATATATATATATACACACACACACACACACACACACACACACACATATATATAGTTAGCATGTTATCCACATCAAGAACTGAAGCTACTAACAACTGACTATGCAGTGCTACTGTGCATTCCTATGCAAGCCTTTCAAGGCAAAATCACATCTGTTCAGCATTGCCACAGCCCAGATTCAGCTCTCTCCCCGCCCCTGTGTTCCCTTCTTAATGTTTTAAAAAACCATGTAAAAGGCATTGTTGTTTCAAAAAATTGTTAAAGGATTACTTTTAGATTCAAATTTTTAATGTCTGTTGCATTTCCCTCCCAAGAAATGAGTGGAGTGCAATGACTCACTTTTCTGTGACATAAAGAACTCCATTCCTGATGTAGTCTGTAGGCATCTTCCTATCTCTGTTAATCAAGCAACAGCGCCAGCCATTTTCACACACTGAAAAAGTCATAAGAAGAAATCGTACTTTAAGAAAGAGACAGGCATTACCCCTAACAATAAACTGAAAACACTGAAAATTAAACTTCAGATAAAAGTGTTTACAAAGAAAAGCCTAAATAAGGTATATTCAGACATCATCATGTGTTTTAACACTGGTTTAATAAAAAACCCAAAACGAATACCACCCACACAATTACTCCCTTTAACAGGACTGCTCCATTTGCATTACCACAAAAGACATGCCAGGCTGCGCATTCTTTCAAAGACCTGTAAGGATGTGGAATGAAAGAGACTGTCTCCATTCATCCTAATTTAAAGCAAGTCTTTTTGATCTAAAGCTTATACCAGTACATTGCACAGAAAGGGAATGCTGCTTTAAACTACCCTTGGCTTTTCAGAAAAGCCTCCCTGTTGTAAAATACCTGGCAAAGGGCGCTCATTTTCAGACAGGTTAAAAACTTCATGGAAATTGCCCCTCTTGGTGGTATGGAAACGACTCGTGTCTTCATCTTTGCTTACTCCAGCCGGGGTACTGGAGCCCACGTAACTCCTGGATGCTGCTGTTTGAAGCTGCAGAAAAATAAACAGATGCCAAAACTTGAACAGCAACATTTAAGATGCACTCTTAAAAATAACACATCTATTCTAAAAAAAAAAACAACCCCAAAACAACCATCTGTAATGCAACAATTTTCACTAACTACTCCAATTAAGTTAATTTTGGACTATTGCACTATACTACTGCTACAACACAAAGCTCTAATGTGCTACCTGAACACAACCTCTCAAAGTGCTGCTCTTTGAGGGACACCCTTTGCAGGGGTGAAAATGCATGGTGCTAAATGCACCTACCTTAAAATACCATCTTTCTACAGGAAAGGGTATATCCGATTAGATACAGCTAAGTCACTGCACTCCACACAACTCCAATTATTATACTGGTGGGACTAATAATAATTAATACATTATCAGTACTTGGCTTGTTTTCAAGACACAGATCAAGTACAAAATATTAATGAACAAAGTAAGTTTAGAAAGAAAAATGAACAAAGAAAAGCCACAGAAAACTGCATTAGCTCATTACAAATACCAATGCTGAAATTGAAAGGAAGTTTTCCACGCTACGATCCGTACCTTTTCATGCCCTGACAGCTAGCAGGAAAAGAAACAAAACAACACAAATGTGACAGTGATAAAAGAAAAAAAGTGAGGTCTATTTAACAGTATAATACATAGAATAAAACATGAACTGAGTGAAGCTGCAAGATCTTGCTCACAAACCAAGAGAATACACACAATGAATGCAACTAAAAAAAGGAAGATTTATCAGTGATTAGAGCACACCAATTTATTCAGGTTGTGTTAGAGACATTGATCTTTCCTTTGAAGATACACTGAATTTTGAGAGAGTTGACACATGAAATAAAATTTGAATAGCTGTCAGCGTTCTTGGGGGGCAGGAAAAGGGAACATGGAGTTCTCAAAACCAAAGCACTTGAGTAAAATCTACTTTCAAACAGAGCTCCTGAAGCACTGGAGACTGCCCTAGCAAACAGGCCTTGCTTCTGCATGGACGGCAGGCAGTTTCTTTTGGAAAGCTTGCCTGCGTTTGCTTTTCCATCCTGGTGGGGCATCTCATGATCCCAAAGGCTGGCTTTTGTCACCGAAGCATTAGCAGCTCCATTCTCAGCCCACCACACACATGCAGTTAAACACCTGACAACACGCAGGCTCAGGACTAAGCCCTTCTTCCGTGAAGGCCCAGTGCTGCTGGAGCCCAACCAGCCTCTGCTGCTTTTTTTGCACCTAAGTTGGCAGCACTTGACACTTTACAGGATTTAGTGCTAACAGAAGAAATAAAAAGCAAATTAAGAAAATGCGCACTGCAATCGCTGACTAGAAACCAGACTGACAAAACACGCATGACAGAGGATATTTACCATCCAGCTTTTAGGGCAACTGTAATACAACGATGTCTCGGGGGAAAGAATAAAGAAAGTTGATGTGAAAGCAAATGGCTGATGATAACTGTGGTACTGCTTCTGTTACTGCCCTTCTGTGGTGCTCTTAGCAACGACCAAGCCCCTGAAACAGTGGGAAGTAACAGCTTCTCCAAGAATTTGTATGCTAGTAGAGATCAGATGAATGTTTGGAAGGCTTTTTTGGACAAGTTATCTGGCTCCATATGCATGTAACCAGGTGAAGCTCCATGGCCCAAAACATGCAAGAGGTCTAATGCCTTTTGCACTGGAAGGAGAATTAGTCCTGCTCTCTGCTACACCGCTTCCTACCTACCTGTTACACAGAGATCAAAAAAAAGGTGTTTATATTTCAGTACCATATCCTATTCAGTGGCTGAAGATGTGAGAAAGTTATGCTCTTGCTTCTAGTCCTTCCTAAAACAGGCAAATGTTTCTTTTGCCCTTAAAAAAAGCACTGAATTTTTCCATAACCACCTAGGCTTGAGACAATCTGTGGTCGATTACTAAAAGAAATGCATTGCATACAGTTTTGATAAGCCTTAAATCTAAGTGGAAGTGATTGGATTTGTAATGCTGGAAGAGTCCTGACTGTCTAAAAATGTCACCAACATCCTGGAGGCAGGAATACTTGGAGATATACCTTTTCACTTGATCTGTCATCAGCTTTTGACATGCAACCTTTACCCATCAGATCCAATTGTCAAGATTGTTCTCTAAGGATGGGGTCAGAGTGGTGGTACAGGCAATGAATATTGCATTATGTCTAGGTTTACAGTGTCCTGTATGCTGTTTAATGATAAGAAGACAAAGGAAATGTACATTTGCTGGCAGTACATGCTTTTGGGCTCTGCCTTTTCTATGAAAAAAAAATAATGAAAAACTTACTTGATTTTTAACCTTCTTGTAAAAAAAAAAAATAATAATTTTTTTTTATACTAGGGAGGTTCCCAGAAATCTCTCCAGGGTAAGAAAGTTTGTCTAAAATGACTGAGACCAAGTTAATGTTTTCAGAGACGTCTGGAAGCAGATAATGTAGTACTGCATATTCTTTCCAGGGAGACAAGCCAAGCCCATCAAGTCAGACACAGCAGCACTAAAACCCTGGTCTACTTGTCAAAACTTAAGCCATAAGGGAAAGCCAGAAGGGATAATTACTCTCTAACTAAGTTTACGGATTCAAGTTCAGCAACACAGAGCCTTTCCACCTCTAAGGCAGATTAGAGAGACTCAGCAAGGAACTGTCACACCACCAGTCTGTGAATGATAACCTGTACGCTCCAGAGGCACAGAAACTTTTAAGCCCATCCTCTGCAAGCAAGAGAAACACAGACCATGGACGGCTCTGTCCAAGCACTCACTCATCTCTCTCATCCCTTGGAAAATAGGAGCGAAAGACTCAGTTTTCATCAGAGACTCTCTTCTACTTCCTTCTGAAATACTCGGATTATGCTGCAGCTGTTTTACCACCAACTGCTCCATCATCCCCTGAACCCTGTATTTCTTCTTCACAGGTTAACAACCGAGGGTTTGCGTGTTTACGCCTTTTGCTCTCCAGCTGTACCCAGGCTGAATTATTGCTAAGTGCTGCACATTTTAGTCAAGGAGCTTATGACAGCACTCAGATACTTCATGAGTGTAATCAGATATTGTAATAAGACATATTAAAAGCAAATGGGATCAGACTGAAGTTTTATTACAAATACTGTTGTAAAAAAACCTTTCTTTTCAGTTATCATCTCAGGTCCCAGCACAACTTGCCCCAGAACAACTTGCAAAGATGCACAAAACACAGCACTTAAAGATTTAACTATGAGATATTAACAAAGGAAAAATTTACTGTTGGGAGTACCAACATAGTGAAAAGTCATTAGTCACCACTATGCTAAAAGGTCACCTAATACAAATAACCGTAAGTCATAATGCCTAAATCCGTAAACTACTTTATTACCTCTGTTAATGCTTATCCCATTAGTAAGCTGCATATTATACTCAAGTCTTTTTTAATTTCGTTTTTAAACTAACTGTCCTTCAATCTACACGTGCATCTGAATTTCCACTGAAAAAGAACGTCTGAGAACAGAGAAGGGGAAAACAAAAAGATCAAAACCAAAAAAGATCAAATTTTGACAATAAAATCACACAGAATGTACTTGTATGTTATGTTTCTGTATGTTACAGAAACTGATGTGAATATGGATGGTGTTATTTTTGTGGGTTTAGCTTCCTAAAATTTTCAGTGTGTGTATGTATATTTATATACGCATTTTGATAATAGATTCCTTTCAGACAAGAAACAGAATCCATATAAAAACCTCTGCAGTTCTTGAAAATAATAAAAAAATAGAACTAACATTGACTGTTAGGATTTAATTAACCTTCCCTTTAATGTGCTGTAGTCACTGGGGAAAAGGGAAAGGGAGAAAGGGATGTGATTTGCAGACACTAGGAACAGAGGTACAAAGAGATCCATTACCCTTACCCGTCTCGACACTGTAGCATTAGACCTTTCTTTGAGCTGAGGATCTGTTGGGAGGCTTGTCCAGATGATATAGGGAGTGTCATACTTAGCTCTTAGTCTGGGGCATCGTTTGAAGATAAAATCAATAAGGAAGAATTTGATTCCAGCATAGAGTCCTGAAAAGAAGGTCACTTCAGTATGCATATTGAAGGGGCATTAAGAACATTACCATTTTGATCACGTTTTAACAAGTTCAAGAATGAAATCAAATTCTGTGTCATCAGTCACAGTGCTAAGCCATTCTCTTGGTTTTAATATTTTGATTCTTCTTCCAAAGACAGGAAATTATTTTTCTTTTTCTTCCCTGCCCAGATTCCTTCCTCCCCATCCCCAGTTCTTTTAAACCATTTATGTAGCTTCTTATTATGCAGAATAATATTAAAAGAATTCAAACATGCATTCCTTATTACCAGAAGCATTCTGAAAACGTGATATACTTCCAAACCAGAATACATGTCAGAGCATTCAACTCTGCAGCTCCGTGCAAGAATTTACATGGCAACAGAGGGCTCTCATGTACTACATTAAACCCTATCTTCCAGTTCAGTACATTCTCTTATCTAAGACATTTCTTTGCATTCTGCTAGATATAGAAGGGCTTGAAATACTCTCTCAGAACTTTACCAAATGCAATTCAGATCTAACAGTCAGAGTAAAATAGTAATTCCTCACACATCTAACTCAATTGCTGTGTCAAGCAAACCTACATTTATGCTAAAGCTAACACAGTTTGAAGTTCACAGGCACTAGAAGTAATACCCATTTGATCATATCATTACTTTAATACAATGAAAAAGAGAGAATTCTTCGTTCACAAGATGTGGGTTCATATCTTAGAGAAAAGGCAGTCTCATGCTATAGCGAAAACCCTCTTTTCCCAATTCTCAGCTGAAACTTCAAGTATCTGTGACTTCACCTACAGTAATCTGTTCTTTTTTCAGCCTATCCTCCAAGTTTTACAAATAGTCCCATTAACTCTTTCATTTTTTTCCAACCCTGTCATCCTTATGCCTTCTACATGGTCCCACATATTTAATTTGCAAGGATAAATGTCTAAAAAAACCCCAAATCTAGGACTTGCCACGAGCATTACAGCTGACAGTCTGAAGACCTCTGCTCATGGCTCATTATAAACTTCCCTCTTCAAGGAGACAATGCATTATCCAGTCTTTTGCTATTATATTATGTACCCAGAGATAGTTTTTAAAATGCACACGAAAAACGATGCCAAGCATAACGAAAATACATTGAAACAATGCATTATTTATTAACGTAGATATTTCTTTCTTAAACTCTAAAATTCTCCCTCTAAAGAACATGTTAAGTTTTAACACATCAAGTCTAAAAATCTAACAGGTCAATTATTTATTGTGTTTACCCATTGCAAGCCCAATTATCCTGTAGGGCAAAAAGCAGGATGCAATAAAAGCTGTCCACAGAGCAATGTAGAGCTTCTGTGTTATTTCTGGCTGGACCCACATGAACAAGCTGAAAACAAAAAAAAAGAAACAAAATTTTATTACGTGTTCCAGACATTGGTCAAGTCTTGTTCTGAGAGGAAAAGTAAGACTCACGTCAGACAACTTACTTCTTAATTTTTTCCAGTATATCTGCCATCTTGCCAAAAAGGTTCTGCATAAGAAGTAAGAGCATTAAAACCAAGTACTGAATTATTTGGGGTTTTTCTGTCCACATAATAGAAACCAACAGAGTTATCTTACTCGGTTGGTAATAAGCAACTACCACAAGTGATTTTTTAAACTCAGTTTTAGCCATTTATGCACTTCACAATTGAGTAAATAAGAAAAGAATAGCAATACTCAATGACTTCCATCTCATTTAACACCTTGTTCTGTAACTCATAATTGATTGTTAGAAGTGAAGAAACTATCTGATCCCACTGTCACATCGGGGAAGTGTTTACATCATTGCAAATATTTTAAATTATGCTGCCAATCTAAGAGATAAGAGCTTCTGTCAGTAGGTAGCAAAAAGGGAAGTTTCTTCATACATTTTGAGCACTGCAATCTCGGGCAGTGGTCACTGAGTCCATAAAATGTTGGACTCTTGGTGTCTTTAGAAACACACCGCCACCAGGTATTTCTGACATAACCGTTGAGTTACTAGATCCTACATAATTCCAACAACTGTTGATGCAAACAGACCCCTGCTCAGGACTAAGAGGGTTACTCAGCCATCTTGTCTAACCGATTCTTGCTGTCACAGCACCTGTAAACTCCACTTTCCCAATAAATTTCCAAAGGTGTTCCTATAAACATATGCACCACCACCAGCAGAAGGAAGGAGATGAGCGTACACAGTCAGCAAGAGAAAGGGAAACTACTTTCAGCAATGACACATCATTGGTGGAGTCACTCAGCTGCTAGGGTAGCTCATGAAAATGATGCAGCTGGGAGAAAACCTTCCTCACCCTCTCCCACACAAGCAGCAGATTTCAGGGCTTTTGTGTGTTGGGGGGGCATTGCTTAAAATGGAGCATTTCAGAGGTGCTGTGCAAACTATAAATTACAGCTAAAGGTACAGCTGAAGAAACAGGGTCTCTTACACCAGTTTTGTGAATAGCAGATTTGAGATATGGATCCATACACCAGCACATTGGTAAGATTCACCATCTGATTCTCAGAAGCTTACTTGCATATATTAGTCAAAAAAACTGTCAGAAGCTGCTTCTGAACCCCTTCAACCTTCCTCAGAGCCGTGACTGGAGAACCTCAACCAGTTCTCTGAAGCACGATGCCATTCCAGAAGCTCCAGGCATCTTATCAAGATCTCTATTGCTCATAAGTAAGGATCCCTTTGCAGGGAAATTATTGCTTGTTTAAGTGCTTGTTTTCACATCTGCATGACAAAAGTACTTTGACCACTTGGACTATGAACTTCCTTGTTCTAAGGACGCAGCTAGAGAGGTCCAAGAGCAGCACAGTACCTGCGCCTTCTGAGCCACATCGAGAACAAGCTGAAACTTCTCAGACACTGTCAGGTCCTCTTTTGAGGGTTCCTTGGGTAAGAAAGAGAAATCCATTAATTTTCAGCTCAGTTGAAACTGGTATTTTACAAAATTCCTCATGACAACATGACCCCTCAACATTCCTGGCAATAGTCCTCTCACTTTAAACAGTCTCTAAATTTGCCAAGTTCCTCTCTCGTTTCAGGTCGACTGTTTATATCTTTCACTGCTGGTTATCTTTAGTTATCAGTGCTTTTCCTCCATGGTATATGCAAACACAGTAATATGAGGCTGTGAAAGACACAGTAAGTCTTTGGAGCAACATGGATACAACAGCTCTCAGTCTATGACCACACACTTAAATTGACCTATGTCTGGGCTAGCACAGAAATATCTTTTTAAAAATTAAAAAAAAAAAGTTTTACAAGTCTTAATAAAAGGTTTGAAATTCAAAGTTTCCCATCTTACATTAATACTTACAATACTTCCTGCTTAAAGCAGGATATGCCAATATTTATTTCAAAAATGTTACAGAGAAAACAGAATGCACAGCTTCTTGAAGATCCCCCAGGATATAACTTGTCCCAAGCTGGCATATTAACATTTATTCCAGAAATGTCATTCATGTTTGCAATATTTTATGGTGAAGCACCCAAACCTAGTGCTGTTAGTGAAGATGTCTAAATTTAAAGAGAAAAAACCTGTAGTGTCTTTTTGCACCTGACTCTTCTTTCCCTTTACAGCGACGCACAGAAACCCAGAGGAAGGTTTGAAGGTGCAACTTTTAACAGAGGCATAGAGGTCAAACGACCAAAGACCTACCATGGGTTCAGAAACTTCAGGCACAATGCTCCACTGTATTCTCCAACCCCTAGAAGTTATGGAAATAGTTAAAGAGAGCAAGTAAAGAGAGCAAGTATTTCTTCTCCACCTGTCAACATGGATTATTTATAAGAGGTTAAAGAGTAGTTATCTGTAACAAGCACTTATGGCTTTAAAAAACCATAAATTAAAAATCCTCAAATCAGTAAATAACCCACAAAGTAACATAAGCACAAGCAGCCAATCACAGACAGCTTTAGAGGTGTAAACATTTAAAAAAAGTTATATTAGCTAGGTAGATACAACACAGAATCACTGCTTGTGGGTTTACAACAAAAGTGAACTGCGTGCACAGACTAAATAATTAGGAATATTTTTTCTTTCTTGTTTATGTGAACAAAAGTATATCGACTTATTTTGGAGCCTATTTGCTCCTGGTAATTTTTAAATAGAGTGTCAGACAGTAAGTATTAAGTACAAAATCAGAAAATTATTTTTAAATATGCACATTAAGATCCTTCCCATCATTTTACGAGGAAAAACACCATCAGCCTAAAATAGCATTTTTAAAAGACTGTCTCAGTACAGAAAATTTAGGTTTTTTAAGAAAAGAAAGTCTTAATTTTTAATAGAGACTGAATAGACAAATGGAATATACTCTGGATAAAGTATGCCAAGGGCCACTGAAAGAAGGCAAAACTACAATTTTAGGCCTGCAAGAAAATTCTCTCCAGGGAAAAGCGGCAGGGTTTAATATTTAAGGTGATGTTCTCCAACTACTCTGAATACTGCAGAGTATTTTTATCTTAGAATTCTAAAGTGTTGAAGGATTTGTCTGAGAACATGCAGCATTATTTATGATAACCCAAGTCACAGGAAGTAAAGTTAATTCCTTAGAATAGTAAAAAATTACAGGAATTGAGCAATGTAATTAAGGATATTAGAGTTTGAATTTTACCTTGTTTAACTTAACTTACACCATTAGAAAAGGTAACAGTTTACGACTCAGTGCAAGAATAATAAAATGTCTTTCAAGCAAATGTTACAAGAGAATAATCTAGTATTTAAGTAAATACCTGGCTATGAGGTAATTTAGGGACAACCTCAAAATTGCTAAAAATAAGAACATAGGAATGGCCCAGCCATGCCATACAGCATTCATGTAAATCTGCAGATTGAGAAGAAAACAAAAAAAAAAGAAAAAGAGAGAGATGTGGATTACAAACTGGGGTACATTGAGTTGTACAAAATACCACTTCCCACTGTACTGCTGGGTTCTCAACCACACAAGTCAGATTACAAAAGTTAATACATTTTAGCCACCCCATGACAGACAATAGCACTGAATTCATGAATTGTTAAAAATATAACACTAAACTAAATCTCTAGAGATGTCACTTAAACAGTACTTAGCTGTTTGAAGAAGGAATATTTCCAACACTGTAACTACATGAAGGTATAGGAAAAAAAAAAGTAAATATTGAAGTCTGTGAATGTGCTACACGACCATGATATGGCCTGACCGCCCCTAGACCAGTTGAAGCAATGGTACAGTAGAAGAGTTGTGACAATTAGCCCCTTACACGGCAATGGGATAAACTCTCAACGTATTATTTCAGGTCAACTAAATCCCAAATTTTTACCAAGATTAAAAAGATCGCAAGAAAACAGGTCTTATTTTTCCTAACAAATACAGACACAAAGTGCTTCAAAAGGTACTCTGTGCCCTTCCCAACTTAAGAAAATACAAGACCACAGCCTCCCTGCTGACAGACACCAGGGCTTTTACTGATAGCCCCAAAATGAAGCATTGCTCCGGCTCTGAGCTCCCAGAGCTTTCTGAACAACAGCTGAAGTACCTTCTTCCAGCTTTTTTCTGAAGAATGGGTTTGTCGAGAAAGGCGACAGAAAATGAGGAGAAGGAACAGACACAGGGCACTGGGAGGGGCAAGTCTCTTCCTCAATATTGTCTAAGCTGTGCCATGCAAAGTAACACTAAATAAGGCTTTGAAACTTACAGGGAAGAATCATTTAATGAAAAGATGTGTGAGATTTCAACCAAACAGGTACACTCAGCTATAACTACCCGTTACAATTTCCTTCAGTATCAAAATATTTCATATACACCATGACCAAAAGAATTTAGATAATTTTATTAACAATTAGAAGAAAAACAAATCTAAACCCCACTAAATAGTTAGGTTCCTTTGTGACATGCAAACCTTCTTACATAGCATGGGAATGCTTGAATGTAGCTCACAATGTCTGCACGTTAAATGATACTCAGATCAAGGCCGCCTGTCTCCCTTCAGTAAGTATGATCTTAACAAATCAAAGAGATTAGTCGGTCAAGGAGCACCGATGGTGAATGATAGCTTCTTATCAAACATAGCTGCTATGAGCATTTCAGCCCTAAATAACAAGAGATTTTGCAGAGGCTGAAGTAACCATCAAATTACAGGACAGGGAGACAGGAAACAAGAAAGGAGAGAACAGCACCCACATTGTTCTCAGTTATTTTAACAGTTACAAAACTATACTACAATAAACAGAATTTAAAATCTAAGTGGCTTTGAAATGTAATTTAAGTGCAAACTGCTGGTATTTTGTGTTAAATAAAAATCACACTATTTGATTTGACTTAAACTGCAGCATAATCCTTACTCAGGTATGGCAGTTTCGATAAATTTCATTAAATAATGTATTTTAAAAGTTCTTGTTGCTCCTGGAGGAATAGGATAACTTACAATAAAGGCAATAGCAGAAGTGTAGATAGAATACCAGTCTGATAAGGCAGAAAGATTCTTCACAAAATTAGTAACGGGTTTGGCACCTCTCTCTAAACAGAAGCAGAGAAAAAACAAAACTGTTAGAATTAGCTGGCAGTGGTTAAATCACTTGTAAATGACAAACAACCAAATTAGAAAATGAATAGGAATATTCAAGACATGTAAAGATAAAAAGGCTTATCCAAATTAAGAAAAATGAAACCCAGCAATGTAACTGAACAACTAGTTACGTAATGCATTTCTAAAAACTGAAGTGTTATTCAAGACAAAGGTTACGTCTGAACCGTGAAGTATAGACAAAAATAATCAATGTCCTCTACAAGGGCACCCTGGATGCAGACAGCAGTCTGTTCTGAGCCCTGTTCACACCACCCCAAAGACCTCAGAGCAGGTCAGGCTTTCTCTGTTGGAGCACACTGGTTTTGCCTTCCT